ACTTTGCATATAGCTTCTTTTTTCTGAGGACCTGCAAAACTTGGGCTAGATGGTGAGCATGCTCTTCTCTGCTTTTTGAGTATACCAAGATGTCATCGATGAACACAATAACAAATTGATCCAAGAATTCTCTGAAGACCCTATTCATCAGATCCATAAAGATGGTCGGGGCGTTGGTTAGCCCAAATGGCATGACCAGGAATTCATAGTGTTCGTACCTAGTTCGAAAGACCGTTTTGGGGATGTCTTCTGTTCTTATTTTTACGTGATGGTAACCTGATCGCAGGTCTATTTTGGAGAAGACCTGCGCACCTTGCAGCTGATCGAAAAGGTCGTCAATTCTGGGAAGGGGATATTTGTTTTTGATTGGGACCTTGTTCAATCCTCTGTAATCAATACACAGTCTCAATGTTTCATCTCCTTTTCTGGCAAACGTGACTCCAGCACCCCAAGGAGACACTGTGTCTAATAAAACTACTGTCTTGCAATTCAGTGATATGTTTTCTCAGCTCTTCCATCTCAACGCGGCTCATGTGGTAAGGAGCAACCGAAATGGGCTGGGTGCCTGGTTGTAGGTCTATAGTGAACTCAACTTCCCTGTCCACTGGCAGTCCGAGCAGTTCATCCAGAAACACATCTGGAAAATCTCGAACTACCGGAATCTCTTGGATACTAATTTCCTTCTTGGGCTTACCTAGTTAGAGAAAATAGCAAGGTTAAAGTACTTGAAAATTAAAGAAACTTGACATCAAGGAATAAATATCAAATGATTTTATTAATTTGTAAATGGCTCCTCATTAGAAGGATTAAATACAACCTTCTTGTTAAAGCAATCTATGGTGGCGTGATACGCCGCTAGCCAATCCATCCCTAAAATTACATCAAAATTCCCCGTGTCTAACCCTATTAGGTCTACACTCAGTTTCCTATTTGCTATCTCCACGGTACAAGCTCTGTAGACAACTTCCCCTAATAGTGTTTCACCCCCAGCAGTAGACACAAACAATATTGAATTAAGTTTATCAAGTGATACATTAAGTTTGGATGCAAAAACATGTGAAACAAATGAATGCGATGCACCAGTGTCAAATAAAACATGAGCAATATGGTCACAGATAGTGTACATACCATGTACCACGTCCGGGTCGGCATCGGCATCCTGCTGTGTGAGGTTGTAAATCCTGCCCTGAAAAGGAGGTCTTCCTTAGTTCTGGTTCCTCGGGCACTCTCTCGCATAGTGCTGAGCACTACCACATATGCGACAGGTGTTGTTGAGGCGATAGCATGGTCAGTCCCCGTGATCCCTGTCGCAGTGCTGACAGATCTTGCCACGTGCTGCCGCTGAAGCCTGAGGGGGAGCCTAGATGGCCGGTCTGGGCCTCTTATTTTGTTGGACAAGCCCAGTAGGTGCTGGTCTGCGGGGTGGAGCTGAGGGTCTGTGACTCCCTGCTGGCTGGGAAAGGGTGTTGAAACTTCTCTCCACGATCTACGCCTTTGCTAGAACGGCTGAATATGTCTTGAGCTCTAGTACCAATAAGTGTCGCTTGATCTCTATACGGAGGCCCCACTAGAACCTCCTGCCCTTTCTGCCCTCATCCATCAATGTCTCAGGGGAGTATCGGCCCAACTCTAGGAACTTACGAGCATATTCCGACACCGTCATGTTTCCCTGGACCAGCTGAACAAACTCTGTCTCCTGTAAATGTCGGATGTGCTCGGGGAGGTACTCCACATGAAAGGCTACTAAGAACTGCTCCCAAGTGACTGGCGTAGCAGGGTGGTCTGCTTCCTCCACTAGCATGTAGAAGCAAGAGTAACCCTCTGCTCAGGAACCACTCCTAAGGTTTTGAAAGCCTTCTCTATCTTCGCCAACCAGTACTGAGCATCTTCGAAAAAGGACTCCCCTACAAAAGTGGAAGGGTTTAGTGTCCTGTACCTCTCTACGTAGCCCGGGTCAATCAGGGAAGGAGCTGGGTCTCGTGGAAGAGGGACTGGGCCGGGCTGAGGATAGACTGAGGGGCCCTGTGGTGGCACCTGCTGATATAGTGGGGACACCGGATTATATTGTTACGGTGTCGGGCAATACTGTGGTTGAGCCACCAGATTATACTGCGGCGGTGGTGCCGCGTGGTACTGTGGATGAGCAGGCTCTTGGCGGGGTGGCTCGGGATCCGCTCGCTGCAGCGGTGGCTCAAACTGTGGTAGTGGGGGAGGGTCGGGTAATTCCCTTCTCTCCTCTCGACCTTGCTGAGCAGCAATGATCCTTTCGAGCATCTCAAATATTCTGTCAACATCTTCCCGAAGCGAATCATCCCGGGCTACTCGGTTTAGTGGGGGTCTCCCTCTCCTCATCTCTCTGCACCTGCATTTCACAAGAAATAGTTGAGTAATAATTCTCAATTTGGTATTTCTCTAAGTATTATTGTGTAAGGGACGGGTCCGAGGAACGTAATTCTGATACCAACTATAACGGTTCCGTAAATTAAAAGGAAATATATAAATTTATTCTAAGTGCGGAAGCGAAATAAAATAGATTATGATTAACATTCCTTACACAATAACCAAAACGAATTAAACTATTAAAGAATAAACTAACTAAAGGAAATACTATGAATGAATACTATAAGGAAAACTAATAAATTCTTAGGCTTTTACTCGCCGTCTTCCTGCAGAATGGGCTCAGGAACCAAGTTCTCTTGATCTGAAATGGTTAAGTAAGGAATGAGCTACACTAGCCCATTAAAGACATCACATTATCTCACTGCCATAGAAGTAAAGGTTGGTAGAAAACAAAAACGACCAATGGAGTATAATTTATAACAAACTCATTTATCAATAATAAAAACTTTTACTGTCCACTTATCTCGGTGAGATTCATGAAAACAACTTATGAGAAACAATAACATCATAAACATCATAAGATCATGCACACTCTGTAACATAACACATATCATGCTTTTGTATTTCAATCATCAAGCAACAAATTTCCTCTTTTATCAGCCTACTAGTATCCGTGGGGATTCATAGGGGGTCCCCGCTACACGTGAACTATTCACATTAATAATTTAGTTTTAGGGCCGTCCCTATACTCCATCTGGTATGGGCGCCAAAACCATAAACCTCAATACCCCGTCCGGTATGAGGGTGAAACGGGTCGTCCCCATACCCCGTTCGGTATGGGCGTCAAAACACATAAGTCTCCATACCCTGTTCGATATGAGAGACCACGTTCCCGGTAGGGTTCCCTATGGACTTAGTCCGTCCACCATCTCCCAGTATATTTAGTCAGGCTGTTGACATTATCCATTTATCAATTCACATACCTTTTTCTATTTTTTCTTAATCTCAATTATCCAATCAAACATAAACATGTAAACCAGTAATTGACACCAAACAAGGTAACACAACATCGGGTTCACAATAATTCAAATCATAATAAATAAAACCGTGATTCATGCATACGAAACCATAGAATAAACACATCAGGCACCATACTGCATTCAAAACTGTAAAATAAATCAAACAACACCTTACCGAAAAATACATCATATTCGAGCTCCATTAGCAGTCTTAATAAATTATACATATCTATTAATTCATAAAATACC